AATTAAGACTTTCAAAAACAAAAACAATTTCTCAGCCTCTACAAGGACAACTGAAGGTTTAATGCAGTGCAGTAAAACTTCTGAATCGTCCTCACACAGCTCCCCCAGGACATCAGGAATCATTACCATTGAATACGTTTCACAACAGAGATTGTTTAAAATGCAACGGAGAAAGTGCGTGAGCCAAAGCAGATCGCAATTTAATACTCAACAGAAACAGGGACACAATAAAAGCGGACTAGACTCTCTTCCCCCACTAAAATCCAAGATGTTCTTAAAAACAGAGACGTGGGAAGAAACAACTATGCTTTTCTCTACATAGATCACTCTTCTGAGACCAGAAACTGGAGGAAAGAGACTTCGAACCCCAACAAGAGCCGAATCAACCTCACCAGCTTTCCACACTAATCCATTAAACGATCTGCTCTTTCCCACAAAGAGTGGTCACAAAAACGCAGGTCTCAGCGTGACCTCTTTTTCATTAATACAACTCTTCTTCTCACCAGCCTCATTAAACCTTATTCTGCTTCCTTCTTTCACAGCCCAGCCTGCCATTGCACCTACCAGCCACAGGCTCTCTCTGGCTGTAGGATCAGGTAGGTGACCCCCTAAAAGTACAAACTGTCACCTGAGCAGCACCGAAACTCCTGTCCCTCCTGCCCAAAGCCTGGTGCTCTCCCAGCTGATGCACCAGGACCAATGTGACCCATCTGGGAAGTGCAGGCGAGAAGCTCACCTTGCCAACATACACCTTGCAAGACCTATGTTCCCTCTTCAGTTGGAAGAAACCCAACTATTTCTCCATTTGCTGTTACAAGGACCCACCACTGCCACCAAAGCCTTGCTGTTAAATGGCCGTCTGCCTGCACAGCAAGATGTTTGCATAGCATCTTAAAAAAATATATTCCTCATCTCCTCCAGAGATATGTACCAGACACAAGTATCCTGCTGGCAGGATCTGGTTTGGGGCCCTGAACGGGATCCCTTCGCATATCATCAGTCCAAAACAAGTACCATAAACTCCTATTTTTTTTTAACGCTTTCTTTTTCCTTTGGTGATGGAGGTTGTTTAAAATTACGGCAAGAACTAGCCTTTGTTACTCTTTGAATTACACTGTGACTTTGATGTTACAGGAAAAATGCTGGGTGAAGGGTCATAAGACAAGAGTTTTAAGATCAAGATTTCATCTAAATGTTTCATGGGCAAAATTCAAATTTGGAATCACTCAGTCAAAGCTAACAGGCTGACACTAGGAATATGCTTGTCACAGTGTGCTTAATGAATACTGGCTAGGTCATTAAGTTGCTTTCTATCCATGTGGATTTCTCTCTTAATTTGAAATTTATAGCTTAATACCTTAGAGCTCAATTATATGGCAAAAGAGACAGGAATACAAGTCACAACTTTCCCATAATTAGCCATGCGGGATAGTACAAACAGAGCTCCATTCCTAGTGTCACAGGTCTTTCTTTTTCCTTCCTATGAATGCTACTCAGAACAAAAAAAAAACATCCCACAAATTCTCGAGTACAGTAACAGAGACTGCAGACAAGTGCCTTTTACTCAGTCATCTGTAAATCACTTGCAAAAGGTGAATCCCAGAAACCTGTTTGCGTTTTTACAGAGGGTAATTGCAAACACTGTCAGATGATCGGAAAGGAAGGACAGGCAGGACTATACTTGGGCTCTGAGCTGTAGTCAAGTCATGAAAAAATCAAATGTGTATCCTCTAAAGGAACACAGCCAGCAGCCAGATGGAAGGCTGGGAGACCAGTCTTTAAAGTCTCTACAATTTTACTGATCAAGAACAAGAGAAATCTCTAAAGATATTTCATTACAAAAGGTAGAAAGTGTTTTCTTTCGGGTTTGTTCTCTTATACTCGCACCACGTCTTTCCCTTTGCAATACTTTATGTTAATTCATTATGTATTTTCAAAAGAATAGTGTAAAAAAGTGAGGAAGAGCCCGAACACATGTTTAGTTGTGAATTTCGGTTTTGCATTTCCAATGGCTTTCAGTGGGGCTGTTTAAAAAGGCTTATTTTTTTGTTTGATGAGGACTTGCATTGATGCTCTACAAAATGTTCTGGTGATCCCACCAAATCTTTCAAGCCTTCATCTGTTCAGGTGTTGACTGACATATTACTTTCTTTACTCTTTCATTTTAAGGATGGTAGGTAGTTTCTGTCAGCCACATGATTGACATTTATAGTCCACCATAACTTATAATAGGACCAAACATAGTAATTTGCCATTTCCCACTAAGCAGACGTAACTATGTTTTAATACTTGTCAAAACTCTGCATGTTTCTATCATAGACGGCAAATTCTATTATTAGAACTGTTAAGTTTTGAGTATAGATACTTTCTGTTCTTGAAATTACAGTGCTTGTAAAAGCAAAAAATTATGTGTCTTGGTAATCGCAAGCAAAATACAACTATTCATCTGCTCTTCTGCAACTGCAGATGTTTACCTCCTTGAAAAGAGAGGGGACACCATTTAGTGTTGATACAAGATGTGCCAGCCTTTGTTCTGGATTGTAGAGAAAGGCCAGAAATTTTGGAATCCTGGACCATGGGATTCCAAGACCAACCCATGCCTAAAGCTACTGGAAGTAGAGAAGGACAGGCACCTGAATAGTCAGAAGCCATTTATTATGCTAATCCTTCCAGTACCTCATGAGACCAGCAGGCTCTTCCAGTGGCTATTGTATTTTGCCCCTTAAACTTACCCTTCTTTCTTTATCCCCAGCATTTGTTCATTTAGTTTAAACAATTTCCTGTTTTCCTAATAGAGGGAGAACTGATTAGACACAGAACCTATTTGCTGTACTCTGGCCAAAACTGTGGCTTGGGTGGTTATTTTTATTATTTCTAGCAGCACTTCTGGAGATCCCATTAATACTGAGGCTCCCTGATACAGCTCTGCTACGTGCAGGAAGAAAACTGAGGCCGAGGGGGAAAGGGATGTAAGGAAATAAAGGCAATGAATACATGGTTGGAGCCAGCCGGCCACAGACTCACTCTGCACCTGCTTGGAGGTGTCGGGACAAGAGCCAGCTCCAACCTGGCAGCAGTCGCAGCGTGTTACGTGAGATGACCTGCCCCACAGGCAGGCAAAGCGTGCTAGCGCAGGCTCGGCGCTGTGCTGACACAGCCCGGTGGCTTCCAGGCATCAGTCGGCTTTGGTCCACCAGTCATGGCCTGGCACTGTGCCCATCGTGCCGTACCTGCAGCGCAAATGTGCCCTGAAGCTCACAGAATCGTGCCAGAAGCAGAGTCCCCATGTCCCCTGCCAGCCCTCAGCCCCTGCACCAGCCTGTATCCATCCTCCTTGGGATTTCCTGCCTCCCTTTCCACAGCCTACTCTTGCAACTTTTAGTTTTGTTTCATTTGAGGAAAAGCTCTACAACCTAGCACACTCATGAAGTTTGAGTGGTGTCTCACAGTGTCCTTCAGCAGAGGACCCAAGTCCGACTGTTGGACCATGCACCCAGCAGACACGTCTCTGGCTTCCTATGAGTCATGCCAGGCAGTGATTGCTCTTACACAGACCAGGCTGATTTTCAGCTTTACCTTTCTGTTTATTCACAGATCTAATTTGCATGCAAGCAACTGCAGTGCTGCTCAGAGGAGAGCTGAGGACCAGGACAGGCTCCTGTGGCAGCAGAAGCAGGGCAGGGCCCCGGGCGTGTGGCACTGAGGAGATGTGGCAGTGGGTCTAAGAAGTGTGTTACGAGTTTGGCGTTTGCACTGCAGACAGAGCTGACAGTCAGCGCTGACTTCACCTTTTCCCTCTTGCAAAACAGGGCAAGGGGAAGCACCTAACCAAATGAGACCTGCTGAGGGGATCAAATCTGAGAGGAAAAGCTGAGCTCTCCCCCCCGCCCCGGTTTGGATCAGACAGCTCTTTAAGGGAAACTCTGACTGCAGACCCTGGCCTTACTGTGCTGCTCCATCCTGGGGCTGTGCCCCGCTCCCAGCCTCCCCGGTGGGAGTGCAAGCAGGGAGCAAGGACAGACTACAGCCCAGTTTCAATGATTTTTCTCAAACCAAACAAAACCACCAAGCTTAACTTGCCTAAACAAGAATGGATCAAATTCTATTTCCATTAATGCAGAGGGAAAAAGAATTTTCAAAAAGCCAGTCCAGGTTGAGGGCTTGAAGTCAGGAGTGGGATGACAGGAGACTTTCCTCCCTGGACCTTACTGCATTGTGCGTGGCTAAAAGCAGGGGCACAGCCAAAAGGAGACCTGCTCTGGCCATGCTGAACTGAACTGGTTCTGGTCTCTCAGTCTGGAGCGTCTCCTATGGCTGGTTGCATGGATGCAATATGCGGCGGACACATTGCTCAGAACAGAACATCAACTAAATAGGCCACAGACACCACAGAGACGAACAATATTTCACCATTCATTGTGAGTGAAGCCCAAGCTCTCAGGATAACACCAGGGATGTGGTTTATTGCACACTAATTGTAAAGGATTCTTTCCCCATTGTACTGTGCCATTACACACAATGTCTCCAGTTCACGAGTCAATAGAGTGTACCAGTACTTACTGGTGGCTTCTTTGCAATAATAGACAGGCAGCAGGGATATACTAGACGACTATGCGCTAGTGTGCACTGTGGCACTCATAAAATAACATGTACACATTCTGGGGCATCCTGGGTGTATATAAAACATGACTTTCCCTCCCTCTAGACTTTTAGGCACTGAAAACATTCCCTTTGTTGTTTAAAGCTCTTATTTTTATCCAGAATCTCAAGACAATAATGATTGCCACACAGCAAAAGACGCACACGTACAAACATTGATTCATGGAAATGGAGTTAGGCTAGCGCTGTGCCCATTCACAGAGATCTGGTAACAAAACTCACTAATGACTAAACAGCCTTTTACCCACACCGACTGCAAGAGCAGCCCAAGCAGCTTTGCACTTACATGATACAAAAGGGGAAATCCAAAGCAGTCTTAAACCTGCCGGACTGTTGCCTACCTTTTCCTGAAGGGAAGAAGCAATCCATCTCCACGCTGCTGCGGGAATGAGAAATGCAGAGAGCGCTGCTGGGGACCAGACCCTCCTGAGGTGGGCTCCGCTCCGTGGTCCGGACCAAACACCAGCCTGGCCTTTCACTCGGCCTCTCCAGAAGCTCCACCGTCTGCCCCACCTGAATGCTCAGCTCGCTGCTGTGGCCCGCTGTGAAGTCCTGGAGCACCACGGTTAGTTCGCACCCTCCAGACAACTGCCCAGGTTCAACAGAAAAAAAAAAAACCAACACCAGGAATAGATGTTAGAGAGGGCAGGATGAAGGCAATCATCTTTGCATCATATTTACACTGGCAGACAGGATTTGTATTCCTTAGAAGCCAAGTTAATCATTTCTTTTGTCAAAGTTCAACATGTGGTGGCCCTGGTTTCCTTTACTTCTTATTGATTCTGCTGGGCTGAAGTAAGAAATCAAAGCTACCCACCCAGTAACCTTTTGAATGCTAGCTGTGGGTGAATTTTCTAGCTGTGGGTGTCCATCAAAAACCTTGCCTGTTTTCTTGCTTTGCTTTCTGGGGTGACTTTCTAGACTAGCAATAGCCCAGGCTGCCTCGGCACTGTCCCTCGTGGCAGGACAAATTCCAGCTTACTCCTCTACAGCATGAGCTAGACACACTCCCGTGTGCCACCCGTGCAGTGAGGAAACAACTACGTTTTTTTTGCAAGGCAAGAAACATGCCCTCATCTTCCCAAACTTGCTCTAGGGACCTCTTGGGAGACTAGGGAATCCTGATGGGGAAGATCAGAAAAGCTCCTCCCATGCTCTCTGATGGAAAACAGAGGTGTAAATATATAAACGTAGAGTGATTGATTGTATGCTGACTTCCAGGATTTGTAACTAAGAATAAATGTATCATCTTACTTCCGTACTGAGCGCTGGCAACCTGCTGCTTTCCTTCAGCCTCACACCCTGCGACTCTCAATGAACAATACTGGTCTCTGTTTAATCATAGTCTCTATATAACCAGAGACCGGATATATAAGCGTTTGTGTATATAGCAGAACAAAACAGAAGAAGTGATTGCACAAGCAGCAGAGCTAACGAAGCTTGTTTTTTTACAGATTTGGATCTCAGAGTTGGATTCTCGGTTGTGTAAAGGTGTGAGCACAAATCTGTTTTTCTGGTGTGAGGAATCCTTCTTAATGCTCTTCTGCAATGTGGATTTCTTGCTGTCTGCCTGTCATTAGGGGCCCTCCTTTGGGTCTTTCTCCTCTACATGCTGCTTGCTTCCCTGAAGCATGCAGGAATCTTTGAGGTCCTTATTCCAGTGTCAAATTTGATAGAAAAATTAGTTCACCGATTCAAAAGTTACTAAGATGAGAATAGTAAACAACCTGATTCAAAACAGTGTAATACCATAAACCTCATTTACTTAGGATATGAAGCTAAAACCAAGCATATTATAAAATGTTTTTAAAGGAACAACTTGTAAATCCAACTGAATTGGGAGAAATCTTGTAAGATGCTGAGTATCTCTGTGAAATCAGTGAAAACTGGGATCTGCTTATCAGCCTGAGGAGCCCCTGAGGAGAGCATGCTCATCTCTACAGACTTCACTCTTCAGCTGGTACAAGCTCAAAATCCCTTATCTTAGCCCAAGCAGCCCTGAACGCACACTCCCATGGGAACAGCCTGTCTCCCTGCTCAGTGGCACAGGGGGTTGCGTGTCCAATGCAGATGTGAAAGAAATCCTATTCACAGGGGTGATAAGTACAATTACAGAAAGGGGTCAGTGGACAAGGACTGGTTCTCACCTGTCCTGTGTCTCTGCCGTAGACGAAATGCTAGATTTGGGGAAGAAGAAGGAAATATTTCTCTGAAAGATTATTTGTAAATAAATAGAAAAAACAAACAAAACAAACCATGGCAGCTGTTTGAGGCCATTTAGACAAAGTGCTGGCATTAATCCTGGCAGAAAGAGCTCAGTGGGTTGATGAAAGCACACAACAGATCAGTTTAGCACCTAGCTATGCAGTTTATCAGCAAACCCACCATTCATCACGCTGACATAATCTCCCCATAACTGGAACACAAACATTCACAGGTATGATAAGTATAAGATATTGCTATAATATTTGCTGAGGTTTCTTTGCTGCGGACTAATTTGAGGAGTGGAAAATCTTTCTGATCCAATGTAATATCTGATCTGGTATGGTATGAAATATTTAAGACACAAGAAAAAACCTGATTACTTTTTGGTAAATACACTGACAAATATTACCAAATGTGATGAATTTCCCCAAATTCTTCCACTATCCCTTGCTAAGTAATTTTTCTGTCCCCCACATTATGATATCTATGATACTTTCTCTGAAAATAATAAAATCTCTCCTTCTTTTAGGGGAAAATATGTGAACAAATCCTCTGCTGTACCTACTTCTCTCCCAGAGATATATTTAAAGCCTCTGCATGCCCTGCATTCGAGTACCACTAGGTGTCCGTGTTTGCCATCACACAGCTAGCTAATTTGCTATAAAGAATTAACTCTCTCTTGTCTTCAAAGTGCTTATCTAAGTGTGATGAGCAGCGTCTGGGCATGAAGGAGCTGGTTCAGACAGGATTCGGAGACCCATCGCTTCCAATGATATGGGCAGAGGATGTTCCAGAATATTAAAAAAATTTCTTCAGATGGTTTGGGTTGATTTTTGAAAAATAAGTAATTTTTATTGCTTAAGCACAAAAGGTGAAACAGCCCTGAAATATTCCAGGGAAAAAGGCCTGGTGAAGGCAGTGGTTGGGAAAGTTTGGGACTAACAAGGCATTTCTCAGGGATCATCAGCCTGGGAAGTGCTGCCCTAAGTAGCATCCCACTCCCTGCCCGTGACACTGCCCTCCTCACTGTGGGCTGAGGGGCAACTCACCTAAAACCAGTCTGTCACAGGCCTCTGTCAATCCCTTTCCAAATGACTAAACATCTGTGATATAAACAGATGCTTCAATTAGGGCAACATCTCTAAACATTATCCCAGAGCAGGCAGGTGTGCTCCACGACCCTCAGGTACCATCTAGCCCTGAGCTCCTGCTTTCTCTGATTCACTAAAAATAGCAATTAAATGTAATGAGAACTGGAAGTAATCATCCCCTCTAGGAGCTGCTCAGCACCTAGTGTGATCAAGCTCTTCCTCAGCAGGGGAGATATTCACTGTCCCGGCTTTAGAAGCCTACCTTTGATGTGTGAGGGAGGGAGCTAACCTCTCTCAGCTCCCTGGAAGCTGTATGAATTTATATCACCTGCTTCTCCAACATCCTCTGGATGGAAACATGGACCAGGGCTTCCCCATGCTCCAACTCACTGGTTGAAGCCAGTGCTAAAACAATACATTTTCAGGGAAAGACCCCTTCTTTGGCAGGAGGAATTAAGCAGGTTCCCTTTTACAGGTGCAGGTGGTAGGTGCAAGCAGTTAGCTCAGGTAGGGGCCCACAGATCACTTTTAGGTGCCAGCCACAAAGAAGAGAAAAGGAGCTCCTTTCTTTTGCCCAAGGATTTCCAAGTATTTACCATGCCTGTTCTGTGTCTTACATACCACCACACCACAAAGAACATTTACTTAACAAATTAACCCACAGCAAAGTAATCTCTCTAAAAAGCTTATATTATACTAATACATATACAATTTGTAAGCCACTGAGGAATAATGCAAATACATCTGATTCCCGATGACAGAAATCCTTTCACCTATGAAGTGATCCCTCAAGCTATTAGTTACTTGATTTGTTTTTCAAGAGTAATTTTCCAGTCTCAGAGAAGTACATCATGCTTCTTTCTACGTCAGAGCATGCAAATTGAAATACAGATGGGCTGCTGGTTTCTCACACATGTTGCATTTGGTTTGGAAAGAGAAGGAAAATAGAGAATGCCCTTAAGGTTGAACTTCACAGGTAAATGGCTTCATATTTTAATATGTAACATTCACTTTTATTATTCCTGTGATAAAAACCACCATTAAAGCCACTGACTGGATATATCTGAAACCCAGACAGCAGTCTAATCTGTGTATGGCACAACAAGATTGGTGACAGACATTAAAATAAAAATAACAATGCAACATGCCTTTGCAGAGCACAAGGCATAACTGAAAGGTCTGACAGAGGGACAAATCTAATGAATTACATAGCAAGCAATAGCCTTAAAATCAAGAAGAAAAGGAAATGGTAGAAGCAAATAGCAAAATGTAATGAGGAAGCAGGAGGGCCCCAAGCAGTCCAGAGCAAACATGCAGTATGTCCTGAGAGAAGCTAGCAGGAGCTCCAGCCTGTCTCCACCATGCCTGCCATCAGCAAACCATCTCCCATCCTCTGCGTTCACTTGTTCCTGGGCTAGAAAGCATCACTGTGCATTCAATATGCAAATGTTTTCACCAGGATGTTCTAAAATAGATCAAATCCGAGTTAGAATGGAGCCCTGCTCTATGTCACCAGTGCAAGCAAGGAGTCAACCCTGCAGCCATTGAAAACTCCCCTCTCTACCGCAGGACATTGCTCACAAACCTCTGAGCATCGATGCGAGCAGTTTATGTCAGACACTGACTGGTGAATGAGTTTCGTCATGACTTACATGAGCCTTTTTGCTTCTGGGAACACCCAACCAAGAGCCCATCAGCTGCGGGAGGGTGAAGTGCAAGCAAGCAAAAGGATCCCAGGCATGGGCACATCCTGCTGCAGCAGCATCCAGGCTGCTCCAAGTGCAGGAGCCAGCTCAGCTCCAGGGACCAGTAGGTACCGGTTAGTGCAGGATTACCATGAGATGGTCTTTCCTGAATCACAGTATGTGTGCACGGCCACTGCGGCATCTGTTTAGTTTTCAACCACAAAGCAGCAGCCAGAGGAAGCAAGGCAGAACACCAGAGGCATATTTATCATTATACTGCAGAGAGAAAAGATCTAGGAGGTCACAGGCTGTCCTTCCTTCCCTCTAAAATAGATCTTAAGTAGTACTAAATCCACTCCAGTTGAAACAAAAGTGGGACGGAATAGCTCTCTAACAGGGTAAGCAGGGATTTGGGAGATGGGTGTCTGAAGAAGGGTTCCTTGGGCACTTCTTAAATGGCTAACTAAATTATTTATCCTGCAAATCGCAATGGATCTCACACTGGTTCTAAAATATGAACCCAAGATCTGAGAGGCAGAGAACCGGTAACAGTGATACTGTGGTGGTTGTATCAGCCTAAGTGAATAAATACCAGCTGCCCCAGAAA